CTTATTCTCCTTAGATGAAGCTTTTCTAGCATCTCTCTCTAGAAACAAGAACGTTCTTCATTACTTGATGTCCTCAAGTTCTCTGGAGAAGTATTAGCCAAACACAAGCTAGGTAGGTTCATTTGAAGGATGCTGCTGTGGGCCTGTTCTAAACAGAATCAAAGAAATCAGAAGTTGAGAAATGACTGCTCAGTCATTCCCCATATGAATCCTTTTGGCCTCGGTTCTCTTTGAACCTGATGCAGATGAATGGCTGGGTGTATTTAAGCAAAAGCTGTTGGTAGCTGTGTCCCAGCTATTGCAGTGTCACTGTGGGGCAGCAGGTGATGCCATCACAGAGCTACAGAGGAGGAGGCAGAAGTCCACGAAAGATAACTTCTGTGTTATTTATATAGAATAAAATAATTAGAAAATATCCCACTCACCAAACAGTGGGTGGCAGTAAGAATGGGAAATGGGCTTTTCAGCTCAGTTGAAAAGGAGACAATGCTCAAGTTAGGTCTAGACTAACCAGGTTGGACACTGCTGAATATTAGTGGCCAGTTCCAAAGAGCCAAAACCAGTTTAAGTCATTCATAGAAATTGTCTTCTACAACTATGAGAGGGAGAGAAAGCAACACAAGAAACATGAGAGCTGGAATAAGCAACTAGGCAAATAAAGGTAAATTGGTTTATTGAACAAGAGTATACGGTGTAATTAAGCAGTTACTGCCATTTCTATCATTTTGCTGTTTCTAGCTTGTAGAACTTGTAAAGGGGGCCTTGACCTTCCTTTCCAGGCTGCATTTGAAGTGGCTACTTGTATGCGGGGAGGCAGTCTGAATTCGCAGGCAGATGTAAAGAAGCTCTTCTAAGTCCTTTAATCCTACGGGTCTATAATTATTCAGCATCCATCTGTCCTGAATTCTTCACAGTTTCTGAGCAGCAACACTTTCAATATCTCTTCTCTATGTAATTCAACTCTCTGTTCTCCCAAGGCTTTTAGATCTCTCATACAAAACAGCAACTGGTTTTAACTGCCATGGTATACAGCCAGGATTGTATAATTCATTTTGGCTAGAAAACAAAGCCTTAACTGAATTAACAAGTTACCATAAGCACTAGGTGGTAAGGTTCTTTTGAGAGGCATCATTTTATATTAAGAACTCTCTGATTTGTGGTTTGAATGAAAGATGTCTGTGGAAGTGCCTGAAATAGCAGTTACCTGGTAGATAACTGTGCTGTTGGAGGTTTGTAGCCCTACAGCTTCTCAGAATCAGGAAGATAGTAGGCGTCTGTTCCCTTCCATGGTCAAGGTATAACGAGGTAGAACGCTCATAGGGACTTAATTGTATGATAAACCCAAAGAGTTTTGCAAAGTGTTACTTAATAGAGGTTATTTCTCATGTAAATCAGTTTGTTCTCTTTACCAATGACTGTATTATAAACCATTTATATAAAGTCTTTCCTATTGAAAAAAGTCTGCAATTAACATAAATTTCTTTGCAAATAAATTCATTCCTAGAGCTTTTGTGGCTCTTAATTATGAATAGCTTTACATTTCTTAGGGAAAGGAAGGAGTTATAACTTTCTTCTTCATTTTTTTTTTTTTTTTTTTTCTGTTATAGCTTATTTCTGTTATGCCTAAACCAGTTTTGAATATCACCCTGTTTTTCCATTTTTTGCCTTGATTCAGCCAGATAATGTCCCTAAAGTTGCAAGAATAATACAAGAATAATATAGTTATGAATGGGATGATAATGTGGCAGCCCAACTGGGGAAAACACCTCAATGATTAGCGTAGGATCAGCTAAGATGAGTTTTGAGTATATTGATTCTGGAATAAACAAGTAAATGTATTATTCTAAATAGAACAAAATGTTTTGCTTGAAGCCAAGCAGAATATTACAGATGCTCCCAAATCAAGATAAAGCTAAAGAAACAGAAGTCTAGAATTGCAAAATAGGGAACAAGCAGTGATTTCCTACCTCGGATCACCTTTGTTAACACTTGACACTTGTGAGTGAGATGGCTGCCATCAGTCTCTCCCTCACCTTCTCTTCTCCTTTCAAAGGAAATACATTAAAATCAAACATATGGGACGTGTTTAAATGTCTCAAATGCTCTCTCCCTCCCTCACAAACCACAATTTTAAGTGAATAAATGTGCAAAAAAAAAAGTGAGTAAATTGGCAAACAATGCATTTGTAACTGGAACTTAATTACCTTTTAAACATAATGGTTGATGGTGAATGGTGTGAAATATCCAAGACAGAGAGCAACATGCAGGTATCAAGAACACTCTTGTAAATGCTCTGCTTTTTGAAGGGCTCCTGTTTAACTTCATGTGGGGTGAGATGTGGGGAGAGGATTGGGAGGGACCGTGGGTGGAACAAAGGGTCACGGGGATCCAGGGCGGTCACGTGTATGGGTATAAGAAGCTATGCTACGCAGCAATAAATTGGCACTTGAGCTAGACACAGTGTGTCCATCTCTGGTGTCCATGCTCGGGGAGCAGACACCCAGGCAGCCAATCGATGTCTCTTGGGCTGGGGTAGCATGCAGAGTGGCAACATTTGGTGACCCCAATGTGATAGGCGGGTGGCTGCCCGGTAGGTAAGGGAGTGGAAAGCCGATAGCCATGGCATCCATGGATCAGGTGGTGAGTATACTGAAGGGGTTAGGGAATCAGTGTGGAATCGCACAAAAGGGGAAGGAGATTTGTCCATTGCTCCAATGGATGCAATGGCGGGGATTTGCTGATTCACCGTCCAATTGGCTGGAACGGCGAACACTAGAAAAGGTGGAAGAGGAACTTTGGGCAGTGGATTGTAATGGGAATAAGGAGGCTCTGGGGTTGATTCCTGCTTTTATGAAGATCCTCAAGACCTTTAAGCAGGTGAGGGAGCAGCACTCCATATGGCAGTTGGCAGCGTGTTGGGAATTGGCATACAGGACGTGGACATGTGCCCGTGGAGCAATTGTTCAATTTGAGCTTGCTTTAAGCAACCAGGGGTAGGTCTTAGAAAATCTCAGGGCCTGCTGTAGCTGAGCAAACCAAGCTGCCAGAGTAACTGTGAGAAGCTCCCACGGCAATGACTCCCACATCGCCCAATTAAGGAACTCAGAAAATACTGTTACCAGCAGCTGGCTTCAAGGACAAGGTTTACGTGACTGCTAATCACAAGGGGTTCTTTTCTTGCAGGTGGGGTTGTTTTCTTGTAACTGTTTGTCTGAGTGCTTTTGACCAATGATCTTGTGTGAGACACTGTCTGCCCCTGTTAAGTTCACTATAAAAGTTAGGCTATTCGGGCAATAAAATGGAGCTTGCTGATCACTCATATTGAGTGCGCTTGTCTTCCTTCCGTCGACAACAAATGTCCTCGCAACAGCAGTGGGAATGTTGCAAGGGTCAGAGGAATGTAGGCAGGGCCAGGAGGTGAAGGTGGAGTCATCGAGTGCCCTGTCGGAAAACGTGGTGGCAGCAGTCGACAAAATGGCGGTGGCTGACAAAATGCCTGTGGCCGAGGGGGGGGAAGGGACGCAAACTAGTGATAGGGAGAAGGGAGCAGGGAAGGACTCGGGGAAAGATGGGCCCTCTGTAGAGGACTGTGGGGCGCCTTGGTGCGCCCCTGTCTTTAAGGCTTCCCTACCTGAGAGTAAAACCAAGGAGGAAGGTTAGAACGGGTGGTGGACAATGGTGGGGAACATGATGATCAGATTCCCGGTGTGCGAGGTGCCTTCTGGTGCGAGTTCTGCTTCTACTCCAGTGTTTTCCTTGCCTCCATTGTGCCTCTCCGGCCTTTCCGCGTCTATGTCAGGGACAAGTATGTTGTTGCCGTTGCCTCCACCATGTATGGAGCCGACAGCACCTCTGGAAGAGGGAGTGGAGGATCAGGGATGGGATCAAAGGCAAGAGTGTCCTCGAGGAGGACAGAGGGAGTCGCCTTTATTGGGGCAGGCAGTCTTGGTGTGAAAACAGCAAGAGGGAGTGGAGAAACGGGTGAAGGATTTGCAGGAGCGCATGGAGTGGTTGTTGAAAGGGTTTACAAAAATGCAGATGCAGATGGGCAATGTGGCAGCAGCCGCTGAGGCACAGTCAAAGGAGTGGGAGAAGGCGAGTCAGCGTGGGGGCTGGAATGCAGTGGCACGGGAGTGTGTTTTGAAAGGACTTCAATTACAACCTGAAGGGGTCCCTTCAATGGGACTGAGCACGTAGCCAGTTATTATGCAGGGACAAGGGAGAGGTTGGGAACCTATAGCCTGTAAGTTGTTGATGCAGTTGAAAAAAGCTATTTCGGAGGGCGGGATTTGAGGGGGAGCAACACGGTTGCTGATAGACACTATTGCTGCCTCTGGGCCACTCATATTTGATTGGCGACAGGTAGCCCGGCTATGTTTAATGCCAGCGCAGACTACTTTTTGGGAACAGAATATAAAGGTACTGGCAGAGCAGGCTCTTGGCGGCATGTAACACGCAGGGGCATCCTGCCGTGGGTGCCGATTCGGACCTGCTGCAGGGAGACACAGACCTGACGGCACCACGATGATTGTTACCTGCACATCAAAAATTATTGCAGTCTTTCATTTCACGTATGCAGGCGGGTGGGCTCGCAAGGCTGGAATTGGGGAAGGGAATTCAGGCACATATCTTACTACAGCATGAGGGGACGGTCATAATATTGCACCAAGGGGACAGTCGACGCCCACTGCTTTTTGGATATTGTGTGGCCCCAAAGGTTGCATTGCCGCAGTGGGAGAACCTGTTAGCTCTCGCCATACAGTAGGCCCAAACGAGAACAGTAAGATGCTCCAGTGTAGAGCCTG